TTTATACCATTTGAAATTAATACAAAGATCCTTATAACAAAATAAATGATTTCTATAACAAGAACAATATCTAAATTAAAAATAAAATAATTAATTCAATTTTATTTCAAACATAAGTTATCTATTAAATTCAAATTTGCTTCCAAATCAAATTCAATTGGGCACCTCATTTGATTCCAAACAAAGGTGGTCAAGGTTGATCGTAAGGCAGTGAAACCTGAAATATTTTGCGCGGCCAAGGAAATGGCCGCCTAGTTGATGCGGTTTTCAGGTTCAAGGTCCGCCTATGCAAGCCGTTAAATTGTTTCGCTCGCTCGGCCGGGCAAGGTCTGGATTCGCCGGGCAGCATCCAGAGATATGATATCTGCTTGAAACCATGATAAATGAACGCATGGCCAGCAAAATCACGACGACGACCAGTGAGAATGAAATAGAAGAGGGTTTCTTGGATGTTCTCATGAAAATAATAATTGCTTTTACATGATGGCATCTTTAATTAGAACCCTTGAATATTGAATTTCATTAATTAGCTATTTCGATTGCCTTCATCCCCAGGAAACCCACCTCTCTCATGCCTTATTGCTTGTTAGGAACGTTAAAGGAAAATGGTACAGATAGAGCTAGCTGGTTGAGTCTATCAAGACATTAAGCAGTTCTTGGGTAGTTGTAATCCTCACGAAAACATTGAAATTTTATAAATGTTTTTATTGCATTCTCAAAATTAAATTAAATTAGCATATTAAAAAATTATAAAAAATAATCTTTATTTTACATGTATTTTTAAATTCAATAACCAATTTATCAAATCCATCAGAACTTGACCTACATTTTAAAAATACTAAAAAAGTATTTTGTTTGTTATACTATCAAGAATTATAAACTTATATTTAAAATGTAATCTCAATATTTAAAAAAATACAAAAAAAATATATTTTGACTCTAGAGTAATTAGGTTTTAACTTGATAATATAAAGACCTCCTTATCGAAAAAAAATTTTCTTAAATTTTAGACAGACTAACAATTAGAAAACACAACAATATCGTAATTTATATCAAACAAACAAACAAACAATACATCTTAGTTTAGATAAAGTGTACTACGAGTGATATGTCCTCCTTATATATAAACAATTCTATTATCTAGACTCTTAGATCAATTAAGGTTCTTAATGATCAAAATACCAGATGACAACTTTATTTCTTTTTTATTGATAAGAAACAAGAAGTTCTTGTTCTTTTCTTTAAAAGATAGATATCGCAATCCAAGAGAATGATCACTATGACGTTGCACATGTGCGGCACTATATTTTAAAAATACCAAAAAAAATAATTTATTTATTTTAATACCATGAATTATGAACTTATATGTAAGGTGTATTCCAGATATTAACAAAAAAACAAAGATACAAAAAATTCTTGTTTTTGACATGTAATTTTCCTATAATCATATATAAAGCCTTTGCAAAATGTGTTAGGACCAATTTTTTTGAGGTGATATACGATGGAATAAAGCAAAATAACAATAATAATAATCTTATTTTCTCCTCATTTATAGTATGATTTAAAATATGCATATATGTGGTTCATATTTATATGAACATATGTTAAGATGAATAGTTCATATATATAGACATATACATATACATGTACATACTAGAACACCTAAGAAATTGATGGTTGAGGAAGATCAAAATATATAAGATTGAAAAATTTGGAAGGGTATTTTCAATTGATGAAGTCTCTATTGGAAAAGAAAATTCAATTTAAGAAGGACAATTTAAAATTAAATCTTTAAGGACTCAATTGAATTTTTTCAAGCTTTAATTGAATTTATTAAAGGCTTAATTGTAAGAAAAATATTTAATTTTTAAAGTCAATTTAGGCTTTCATTGGAAGAAATTAAAGTCTATGGGTTGAATTGCAATTTTTTGGAGTTAATTTGATTAGATTAGGGGTTTAATTGCATAAATAACAAAGTTTGACTAACAATTAAGAACTTGATTGAAGAAATCCAAAATCAATGACTAAATTGAAAAAGATATGTGAATGTAAGGGCTGGAATTGATCAAATTAAGGTTGAATTGAAGAAATTAGAAGTTTGTTGGTCAATTGAGGGTTGAAATGCACAAATTGAGAACCAAGGATTAAAATGAAAATAACGGTCAACCTTAGGGCTGGCAATTGAGTTTGAAAAAGATGAAATTGCATTAAAATAAAAGTTTGAAGGCAATTATGGATATAAATAAAACCAATTGGAAATACAAGGACTCAATTGAAATTTATCAAATCCTAAATTAAGAACTCTAAATGACTATCGTTCATATTTAATGAAGAGAAAGTGAATGATACATCGTTCATCAATTTGCATATCTATTTTGACAATTTTGTTTGATCGAATCGACAACTTTAAACGAATGAATGTAAAGTTACTAGCTTATAAATTGAGCAAAATTAGATCTAAATGAAAGGTGTGTACCTCCTTTACTAACTTCAAGTGATTTCAGAAGATAAGATATCATAATTGCTTCGACGAGACCTAAAAAATATACAATTTAGTCAACCTTGAAAATGCAACCTAATTTAAAAACTGATTTGATTTTTGTGTGTTCACACATAAAGGTTTCTTAATGAGTTCTTATCAAGGATTTACATAATTTTCCTCAAGATTAAAAGGTCAGAAATGTATTCAAGACCTCTCAAAATCCTAGAAGTACCTTTCTCAAGATCAAAAAAGGCTGAAAAGAAGGGGAAGAAAACAAAAAGATAAGAAAAGAAAGAAAAAATATCAATAAAAAACTTAAGTTTAGAGGTTTAAAAGTCTAAAAAAAAGTTTTTTTTAGCTTCACAAGTCTGTGAAAGGCAACATTTTCCAAAGAAAAGTTAAGAGAAAGTAGTTGTTCTAGGTATACATAATTGATATAAAAGTATATCCTTTGTGGGTTGCTTTTGTTGTTTTATTTATTTATTTGGTTTTAGATTTATGTTTGTAAGCATATAAAAGAGGTTTGAAATGTTTAATAAATAATAGTGCATTCATCTCTCTGGTGCTGTGATTTTATTTAAAGAAGGTATTTTGAAGTGTTTTTTTTTTAAATATTTTTGATACATTAAAGTTATTATTTAAGTTTTTTTTTCATATACAATTTCATTTTAGTTTTATTTAACTTAAGCTATATATGTTAAAACAATAATGTTTATTTTAAGTTTGTTAAGTTTATTTATGTACCAAATGAGTTCAGAAAATTAATTTTGAATTCATGTTGTATGAACATATATGTTGTTTTAAGTTGATAATTTTTTGGATTTGGTATCTCATGCTTGATTTTGATATTTTTATATTTTTTTGGTTCAAACATATATATTTATGTATTTTATTTTGACTTCTTGAGATAAAAAGAGCATGTTATAAAAACAAAAAATACTTGGCTTGACTAGTAATTGTTTTAGGTAATGTTCTTTGTGTTCTTGAGAAAAATGTTGCCTTAACCCATAGGTCTGGACCAATTTTGGTCTATTTCTTTGCATATAATTTTTTTTATGTGATTGACCATTAATTTAGTGTTTATTTGTATCAATAACATGATTTTAACGGTTTTCAATTCTAGAGTTTTGGTTTAGATCCGAAATCTATTTTGATAAAATTGTTATGTTTAAGTGATAATTTAAGTAAATAGATGACAGATTATTGATCCTTGCATGATTTCCAACATGTATATGTCTTTGTTTTGATCAAATTTGGTTTGTTTTGGATTTCATGTTGCTGGGTTTGTTCAATTTTCTTGATAGTTCTTAGTGTTATTTTTTTTTGGTGTTTGATTCGTTTTGCTCAAGTTCTTTTGATTTTTTTTTTAATGTTTTTGGGTGTTCTATTTATTTTTTGGCTTTGGTTTTGTTTTTGGATTGTTTTCGAGTCAAACCAGGATTTCTAGCTCGATTTATGGTTAAACCAAAAATCTCAAGTCAATCTAATCGAGTCAACTTGATCGAGTTAAGTAAAAAAAATTATGTCAAAGGTTTTAATACCCTATTTAGTTTGCCATAACTTTTGTTAAAGAGTTTTTGGGTTTTAGTGTGTATGAATTTTTGTTAAAGAGTTTTTGGATTTTAGGGTGTATTTGGCAAACATCCATTAAGCTATATTTGGTAGTTTTATTACATAGAAAATTGAGTTTTTGTCAAACAAAGCCTAAAAAATAATAAAATAAGATATTTTTTTCTTGAATATGGTTAAAAATTCTAAGGTTATTTAAACTTTTATTTTTAAAAAAATCTAAAATACTTTGACATGTTTTTTTTTATAATATTGTATGGATTTTACAATAAGTTTGTAAAATTTCAAAGAATTTTGATATACATTTTAAAAATATCAAAAAAAAAATTATTTGGTTTATGTTAATATGTGAGATTATGAACTTATACAAATGACATATTCCTGATATTAAAATTAAAAATAATTTTTTTGTTTCTTTTAATATACAATATTATGAACTTATAAATAAGACATATTCCATATTAAATAATTTTTTTTTATTTTTTTATGTTGACATTAGAAAGGTTTTGTTTTTAATCTAATAAGATAAATATTTTCTTATTAAAGATAACTTTTTTTATACCTTAGACACATAAATGGTTATGAAACATAATATTTTTTTTATTTTATATCAGATAGATAAATAATATAGTTTATCTCAAGTAAGGCATACTAGAGGTGTTAATACCTTCTTCTTATACAATCAATCACTTTATATAGATTTTGAAACTAGTTATGATTTTAAGTAACCAAAATAATAATTAACAATTTTTTTATTGATAAGGAATAATTTTTTTATTCTTTTCACTCGCATCATTCTTTATGGTCCGATCCAAGACGATAATTGCCGCGACTCGAGACATGTGTCACAAGATTTATCAAATTAATTTTCACATAACTTTTTTCTTAATATATTAAAATATATAATAGTAGCACCTAGATATTTCTTGCGGTGATGGCTATAAATAAGAGTGCGGAGAAGAGGCAATAACCATTCTAAACACAAAGTAATATTTCCAAGATGAAGGCCTTTCTTATCATATGCATTCTGTTGGCTACCGTTGCCTTCTCTCCCTTTTCCACTAGCACTGCCCTAGAATTATCCCATAAAGGTAACCTACCTTTTCTATCTGCTTTCGTCTCCACTAATCTTATGATTTAAGACAAGCATTTACCTAGCTAGTTCATATTTATTCGAATATATATATGTTAAGATAACAGTCCATATGTGAGTGTATGTTAATGTCTAACGCTGCATCTAGACCTGCTTTGATCTATGAGCTGGTCCTCCATCCTTTTGCTTTCTCCTCTGTTAACAGTATTTTCATAGCACGTTAACACCTGTAAGTAAACCTTGCAGATCCATACAGCACACTTGACGCTTCCCTGCAACAACATGGCCCGATGAAGCCTCCACGTGGCCCAATGAAGCCGCCACGTGGTCCGATGAAGCCGCCACGTGGCCCGGTCAAGCCACCACCTGGAAAGAAGCCACCTCCGGGGTCACATTAATGCTTACAAGTGGAACTGTGAAATCCCTTGAGAATGGAACACTGCGGATTAGAAGCCAGTAAAGTGTCGACCGACAGCTAGTAGTATCTTTATTAACGTGGTAATCTGACATGAGAACACTTTGTGTAAGAAAAATAAACTATGGAGTTCTCATAACATGTCAGCAACCATATATATATAATGGTATTATGAGGTTTTAATTTCTGTCGGGTTTTAAATTGTAGTAACGTAATGAAGTTAATGCATAATAAATAAAGTGCTTAACTAGCTATCTTCTCTGGTGTTCATATGTGTTGTGCATGCCCCCCCCCTTTTTTTTTTATTTGAAGTTTTAAGGGATTGTAATTAAATGGGTGTTTGGAAATATATTTAGATAATATTTTTTAATTTTTAAAAAATATTTTTGATATTATTATATCAAAATAATATGAAAAAATATTAGTTTGAATTTAAATGTGCTTTTTAAAACATAAAAATAAGAGGCTTGCCATCCTAATATGTCACCGACGCAAATCTAAACTGTTTGTCGGGAGTGTTCCTCAAAACACTGCAGGAAAATAATGAAACAAAAAAATAGCCTATATTGAACATTCTCGTTAATCCAAGCAGGAAACTTGCTTTGCGTCATCCTCCTCCATGATTATGAAGCAGGAAACTTGCTTTGTTTCATCATCCTCCATGATTATGCTTTTACAATTATGATTGTTTTCTTTCCAATTTCCATGAATTGATGCTATCCAAGATTTTAAAGATCATAGTAGGTAAATGCCTTTTTGAATCCAATATCTAGATAAAATTCAAACTCGTAAAATTATGTATAATCATTTGATTAATAAATTTTTATATAATATTAAAAAATTATTTTAAATAAAATTTAAGTTATAATTTATATATTCTTTAAAATTCGACAACACCAACTCTAAAATAAGCTCAACCAACCTTTCTGAATCTTGAATTGATGAAAACAAAAGGCAACCATCCGGCTGCCAATCCTCCTCAAACAACTTTTCAAAAAAACAAATGATTTATTCTTCGCCCTCCATTGCCACAATGAATACAAATTGTCTTCAGTATGCATAACATATATATCATCATCTCAGAACCTCTAGCCTGTGAAGGCAATCTTGTGTTCCAAATTCCATGAGTAAATATAAGAATCTTGAGAAGATAATCTTATGATTTTATATTTGAATTTTTGGTTGCTCATATGATAACCACTAAAAATTTATATGGTCGTTAATTTTAGGATTTATGAGATTAATTCTTGGTTATTCATATAATAATTACTAGAAATTTACATGATTGTTAACTTCAGACATATAAAATTAATCATGATGTGTAGAATTAATTGTAATACGTGCAAGCTATTCCATATATCCATATTAATAATAATAATAAAAAATCCTGAGATCTTACCATATTCTTCACATATATATAATTGGACACTGTAATCTTTACCTTATACATAAAATATATATTTTTATTAATTAAAAACCTCAAAAAATAGAGTTCGTTATTATTTTCACCCATACACGTGTAAATAGAATGGCGACCATACTTTTCGAAGGTGGCTTGTGTTGAATAATGCAAAGGTGGTTTATTATTAAATTAATCAAAGTTATTATTAAATCAAAGTTAATATTCTACAATAATGCTAAATTAATTTAGTCAAAAGAAATCTTTATAGATCTTCTTTACAGCTAGTAGTATGACTTTCATGTACATCCCGGAACCATTATCATCGACTTTTGTGGCATGTTTTTCCGGATAAAACTTTTGTGGCATGTCATTGCTGACAATCTTCGTCACAAATTCGGTGGCATGATTTTGTTGACTTTCTTTGGCCTGCAATTTGTATGTAATATAGTTTCTTAATTAGGCTACCTTCGGAACTTTTTATTGTTTATTTAGTGATTAAAAAGGTGATTAATAAAAAGTATTCTGTAATAAAAACAAAATGATTTTGTTTAATTTTTTATTTTGAATGGAATAGTATGGTTTTTAGATGTTGAAAAGAATTTAAAAATATAATGTTATTTGTTAATTATATTAAATTTGATATTTAATTTTTTAATTGTTATATATTTTATTTTGAATGTTTTTTTTTAATTTCATTTCTTAAAAATTTGATTTAATTAATTTTTATATCAACTTTTATTTTTATTTTTTTGATTGTTATTTTTTTTTAATTAAATTTTTTAATATATTAGATTTGGTTTCTGTTATTTTGATTACCATTTGTTTTATTTTAAATAATTATAAAATATTTTTTTTTTAATTTCATCATTTTTTTAATTTTTTTATCTATCGGTATTTATTTTTTTAATAAACTTGAAAAAATAAATTACAATATTAATACGTTATTTTTTAACTTATTTTTATAATATAAACAAACAATAAAAATTATTTTTCAATTTATTTTTTATAACATTATCAATATAAAAAAAATCCACTATCTAATAATCTGTTTCCATGGAAACCATACGATGAATCGACACCAAGCTATTTACTACACTTGAAGATTTCCTTCTTAGAGATTATTCTTTAACTTGAACATATGTCGTTTTCAAGATTATTCATTAGTGGAAACACCTCGCCGATTCTAAGATTTTTTCACCCAACTTTTAAAGGTATACAAAAATCATGATTAACTCTCGTGAATAATACAGTTAACAATTTCAATATTTTTATATCTCATAAGATAATATTTAACAAATTTGAAGATGTTTAAATACAATGAGAATAAAATTAAATATTTTTGTACTAGAATACAAAGGTTTTAATAACACCAATTATAGTAGAATCAATGAATGATAATTTTAATGTGTTTTTACATTTATAATAACTTATATAACATAGAAGTTAAAATTTTATTACAAATTTTATAATTAGATACAATTAAAGTATAATAAAGAAATGATGATTTTAATGTGTTTTTATATTTATAATAGCTTATATAACGCATAGGTTTGGATTATCTTTGCGGATTTTATAATTAAACAAGTTATATATATATATATGTATGTATTTATATATTTATAGCAAAAACTAATTGTTAATTTATAACCGTTATTGTTTACCTGACTGTTAAATGATCGGCTAATTTCTAAAAAATTCTTAGGTGTTTATCAGTTTATCGTGGATGAACAAGTTTCTAAAAAATTCCAATTACACCAGCAAGAATTACACGGGCGCACACAAATATATATATATATATATATATATATATATATATAGATATTGCATAACTTTGATGTTCATCACTGCTTTATCGCGGTGGTAGTAATTGGAATTCCGCTGCTGTATACACCTGCGAGATATACAGCAGTGATGAATGTCAAAGTTTTAGGCGATATTGCATGTCCATGGAAAGCCAGGACAAAAACGTTGTGGGCCTTAGTAAGAGGCGTGACTGTGGCAAACCTTGAAAATCGAACACTATGGATCAGAAGCAAGAAAACTGGTGTGCTTGAAAGTATAGACTGCTAGTGCTTAGTAGTGTATCTATATATGCAAGTTGTGTTGCTGTGTTATTTTGAAATGAAAACCATTTACGTCAGAAGAAGTATTCATGTTTTATGCATTTGAAAGTTTTAATTTCAATCTTTCGAAAGTTCTCTTGTCTGTAATATCCGGCCCATCTGAGATTGATCAGTTATTTTGATGAATTATGTTTGTCTTGTTATGTCAAACTACTTTTGAAAACACTCACACTCACACTCACACTCACACTCACACTCTCACACTCCTCTTCAAGCGAAGAGAAGACAGCCCTTGTTCTCGTCAGAATATATAGAGGCAAGGGTGGAGTTAGGAGTTTTTTTTTATTCTGAATTATTAAATAAATATATAATTTTAAAAAAATAATTATTAATTAATATATATAAATTTTTAAAGTTAACAATAAAGTTTTAATTCAAATACATAACTTAAAATATTAAAAAATAAATTTAAAAGTATATTAAATTAAAGTTAAAAATAAAAATAAATTTACTATTGAAATTATATTCTTTTTATAGAATATAATTAATTTATAATCAAATCTGAATTGATATCGTAATAATCACTCAACTATGATAAAATACTAATTAATAAAGTAATTAATTTTTTTTCCTTTTTCAATTTCTCTTTTCCTCACTTGATTTTTTTTTAGATTAGTATTTTATAAGTCAGACTTTATAAGTTTATAAAATTATTTTTTTTGAATTTTTTTTATATTTTCACCTTACTTTTATCTTGCCTTTTCTTTTTTTCTTTTTCTATTCTACTTCTACCTAGTTAGTAACATATAAAAGAAAGAAAAAGATGATTTATTTTATTTTTTAATAGAAAATAATCATTTTATCTTTAATGAGTTATTTTGCTTTTATTTGACAGGTTTTTTTTATTAGCACTACCAAGTTCCGTTCATCCTAAAATTTTAACTAGATTTTATTTAATATATTTTAAGATCCCTTATAAAATTTCATCTTAATCTAATGATTAGATTGAAAATTACGTTTAATAATATAAAACTAGTTAAATTATGATTTTTCATTAAATTTCTGAAATTCTCCAAATATTTTAAAATTTTAACCCAAACTAAAATATTATATTACAAGGCTCCAAATAAATTTTTAAATCTTTTTAATAATTTAATTATAAATTATAAATTTTTTATATAAAATTAATAAAAAAATATTAATAAAATTTTAAGAGCCCATCCCAGCCATTGCGATTGATCGGCCCATGTATAGAGGGCAGCTGGTCAGATGATGGCACAAACTGAAGTATTAGATCGGCGGAGGCCACTCACTCCCGCAGCTGCTTAAGTATCCACCAATCTGTGTACACGAGAGAAGTGAGATTCAAGGCCCTTTAACTACCAATAATTCAAATTTTTTTTTTAAATGGACTCGTAAGTTTAGCTGTAGAACCAAGTTGGAGTGCGATTGGAACTTATAGGCTTCTTTTTGGATGACCAATGCTTATCTCGCCAAGAATAAATTGCTTGAAAACAGTAACTTTACTTGCAACCTGGTTTAAAAAATTACAAATTTAAGTTTTATTAGGGTTTCTAAAAGTTTATATAATTATTAATTTAATCTCTATAATTATTAATTTTAAAATTTAGTTAAAATTTACATAAATAGATCTGGCTTCGAACATTTATATTAATAAAAAATAATAATAACATGCTTGAAATGTCTTTCTCTAGGTTTTGGAGACTCGCAGCATGTTTTGTTGGAGGTGATAATAACTCATATTATATACTGATTTATTACTTCTTAAGTATTGTATATTTTTAATTGAAATTTTTAATCTAATAAATTATATTTCTCTTTTATTTTCTTAATTGAAATTTTTAATCTAATAAATTTGATCCTTATTTTTTTAATTATTATTTGAAATTTTGATTATTGTTTGAAATAGTTTATGAAATTTTGATTATTGTTTTTTAGTTCATTATCTTTCAACTTTTTTATCCGTCAGGTTTAATCTCTATTATTTTGAATGTTATTTATTTTATTTGAAATAATTTATAAAAATAAATTATTTCTTTCAATTTTATTCTCATTTAACTTTTTAATTTGTAAGATTTTTTCTCATTATTTTAATAAAATTAAAAAAATAGAATATTAATAAGTAATTTTCCAGTTCATTATTCATGATATAGACAAACACTAAAAAATATTTTTTAAAATTATTTTTCATAACGCTATCAAACATTGTAAAATAAATCACTTTTCAGGAATACACTTACCCAGAAAATTACTTTTCAACAAATATATAGGGCATTAAAGTGATATCTTTAGCCTTATTTGATTTCCTATAATATCTCCAAGATTGTATTCATTACTAGAAAATTGAAAAATCTATTGGCATATATTGACAATTTTGTCATCATTTTAAAATGCTAATAAAATAGATGATTAAATATCATTGTGCAAGGTATCTCGTTAACTTTATATTATATTGACAATTTCATTACTATTTAGTTTTTTATATATATTTTTAGTTGATAATATAGTTGGTATGATACCATGCCACTCTATAAATTTTCAGTAGAAATACCAACAAAATCATCCATAAAAAAACAATTACATTAGCAATTCCATCAATAATTACCAACCACAACAATTAGATAATTCATAATCACCCACAACCACATCAAATACACATCTACAAAAATAATAAAACTTATAAAAATTTAATGATTCATTTAAATATAGCTCACAACAATGAGATAAACAAAAATTACCATAACCCATCTTTACCTTACATGCTATATATGTTTGTCTTCATAATTAGAAATTAATCTAACAAAATGGAGTTTGTTACTAAATTAGTGGTTAATGATTTTCTGTGAATCAAATGAGTTTTTTATTAATATATATAAAACAAATGCCAAGATGTTGTTTAAATGTTTTTTAGTAATATATATATATATATATATCCATATTATAAGATGGAATTGAAAATAAAATTAATTAAAAAAACAAAATAAAAAATCACAATCAACCTAAATTAATTCATCAAATTTACGACTTGAGTTATGAGATTAAAATAACCTTATAGATAGCAAATCAAATTAGAAAATCTAATTCTCAATCAACTTAATATTAAAAAATAAAATTAAAAAAAATCAATTAAAAAAATAATTTAAGAAGTCAACTCAGACTAATTTGTAAAGTTTGTAATCCTAATTACAAGATCAAAATAACCCTTTTAAAAGAAAATTAAAATAAATTATAAATCATATTTTTAATAAATCTAACATTAAAAAATAAAATTAAAAAAATCAAAATACCTTTTCCTTCTCTTTTAGTTTTTTATTAATTATTTTCGTCCATATACATGTCGATGGAATTGCACTCATATTTTTCATGGCTGGCTTATTCAATAATGCAAAGTATTGGACACGTTCATTATTTGTTTTCTCTTGTGCGTATGCGAACCTCCATTATTAGTTCACATGCAATGTTTTTTTATTTTATTTTATTTACGTGGGTTATTCGGGCCAGCTTGCGCGCACCATGACTAATCCCCACGGCCCACTGAATACCCTGCAAACCTAGTAGGCATGTAAGACACCGCGAGAGTGACAGACGTGCACGCCAGGACTCGAACCCATGTGCAGTGGAAGGAGAGAGACCCCTTCCACCGCTAATATTGCTAAGCATGTTGGTGGCTATAAATAAGAGTGGTGGAGATCAAGAGGGAATTACCATCTTAAACACAAATTAATATTTCCAACATGAAGGCCTTCCTTCTTTTATTTTATTTAAAGAACCTTTTTTAAATTACAATTAATTTTTTGGTTAAGCATTTAAATTTAAAAAGTTTTTCTAATTCATCTATAATATTTTTTCCTTTTGTATGGATAAATTTTATTTTTTAAAATAAAAAATAAATATTTTCAGGTAATATTTCTAATATGTGCAATCATGCATGATTTTTTTTATTTTATTCAATTAATTTAATTTGTATCTCTATTTTTATTATTATTTTCTTGAATAAAAAATTATTTTAATAAATAAATTTAGCAAATATAATTAAATAAACATCTCAAATTTTAAGATTAAATATCTTGAGTTACATCTATTTCTTATTTTTAAGTTTTATACCTTTAAAAGTTTTACACAATTTTTCAAGTTTTGCTCGTGTAGATACAACTGCATTCGTACTTTTCGAAGTTATAATTAACTCTTTTTTTTTTTTTTGTGGTAGATTCAATATGAGGTGTAAGTTTTGATAATCATGTGTGCCTTTGCGTAAAACGTTGTTACTAATTAACTGGGGAGGTGAAATAGCTAAGGAATTAAAGCACATAACTGCAGTAATTATACTTTTTACAATAACCCGGCATCCATTTACTATGGTATATTACATGCATGCGCTAATTATAAATTAACCTAATGTTTTGCTTAGAGACCTCTGAAGGTGGAGCCTGTCACCGTTAGTCAACCAGCCAGTCTTCGGCCTTTCATATTAATTCAGGATATATAGTCTTCCACGCATTTTCAAGCATAAGGTCCACGATCAAATTTCAGTCACATTACCTTAGAAAAAGATACCTCAATTTTGTACTTATCAACCATGTTTTGCTTGGACACCTCTTAAGGTGGAGCCTATCACCGTGAGTCAACAGCTGGTCTTCAACTTTATTAATACTAGTTAAATAATAATTTAAATTATATTTTATTTAATAATTTAAATTATTAAGTTAATATAAGATACTATCAAAATTTTAAAAACTAAATAATTATGAATTTAAATTTTATTATATTTATTTATTTAATAAAGATCAAGCACGATATAATATGGATCTATACAAATTTTAAACCCAAATAATTTTTATTTAAAATATATATTATAAAATAATATAAATCACATTCTAAAACTTTAACTAACAACTTAATTTATTAAAATATCTTTTTCCATGCTTCCAGCATATGTGGATAGAATCCACTCTTACTTTTCAACGTTGGCTTATTCAATAATGCGAAGTATTTGATACGTTCGTTAATAATCCTGGGCACGGGCCGGGAGGAATAGTTCCCTTCAAGAATGGTTCCCTTCGAATGATGCTAAAAATCATGGTGGCTATAAGTAAGAGCGGTAGATAGGAGGAGAGCATAAGCATGTTAGTCACATATATTTCCAAGATGAAGGCCTTTCTCATTGCATGCTTTCTCTTAGCTACAGTCGTCTTCTCTCCCTTATCCACTTGCAGTGCTCGAGAATTGGCCGAGCGAGGTGAGATTTTATTTCCAACATTAACTTCAGAAAAGCAATTCATTTTGTGTGTGTAATCTTTGTGTACGCCGGCTTTTTCCATGCACACAACTTTGTGTTATATAACTGATGAGTCAACCTTTATTTTTACTTCCAGCATTAATTAACTAGAGATAATCATTTCATGTTATATGTTATTTAATTAATCTGTCGTGGGTTATCTTATAAAAAAATGATTTTCAAAGGTGGTAACTCCATTTAAAAGGTAAGAAGAAAGCTACTGTAAGACCTAATATTGCTTGGGATTTTCCAAAGGCTTTGTAGAAAAATCCCTTAATTCTGTTAATTAAAAACCTTTCACCATGTATTTTGATACTAGTTTAATAATTGCCATGATTCAGTTCGCTGTTATCTTAACAAGCTAACTTATGTATACGTGTGTGCAAATCTTTCAGCTATAAACAGCCCAGGTCTTGACCCCGGCAAAGTTCCATTCAATTGCGGTACGGGTAAGCGATACTGCGTACCTAGCCAACCACCAACATCAACACCATGTCTTCCTTACAGGCGTGATTGTGGGCGGCGCCTTTAAGCTTAGAAGCAAGCAAAGTTGAGTACTGCTTAAAACTATGGAGAGCTTCGGCTGTCTTTATCAATATGTAAAACGATGAGAACTACTTTTGTGAGAAAAATAAATAAAGTTCTCCAGTGGATTAGAAGAAGCAAGCAAGGTTGTGTGCTTAAAAAGTATGGACGGCTCATAGTGTCTTTATCAATATGTAAAATGTTGTTTTGATATGGAAACTATTTATGTGAGAAAAATAAATAGATCTTCTTAGTGAGTTTCATGGTATCTTTTGAGGTTTTAATTTCGGTCATTATACACTCCTCTTATTTGTACGTAATCTCCCATGAGAATTATTATATGAAGTTCCATTATG